GTGGCGATAGCCACAGCCATGGCCCCCCGCCTGCCCGCCGCCTTCCAGCTGCTGCTGCTGCTCCTCGCCGCCGGCTCCGGCCTCTCCGCGCCGCAGGGTGAGTGGGGCCGCGCGGCGCCGGCCGGTCCCGGGAAAGCCGCCTCCGAGCTGGGGCTGCACGAGGCGGGTCCCGGGCGCTGTCACCGCGCCGGAGGTTGCATGTCCCCGCGTGCGGGGAAGGTGGCACGGGTTGGGGCGGGGAGGGGCACCTTGGCACCACCCCAAGGTCGTGGGTGGTGCAGAAGAGTTGCCTCGAGTCTCGAAAAGGTGGAGAATCGTTTAAGGGAGAACGAGGGACACCGTGGCTTTTCCCTTGTCCGCTGGCCGAGTCCCAGGCTGCGAGGGGCTGCTTGGCCCCCTGCCCCCATGCTCCAGACCCTACTAGCACTGGTGCGGGAGTGAGGGGCACCAGGTTGGGACTGGCTGCCCACGTTTACATACAAAAAAGGTTGAGAGCCAGTGGTCGGAGGTGGAGGGGCCGCCTGCACCCCAGCATGGAGTTGGGTCTGGGGTGCAGCAGGTTTCCCACTTGTTGGGGAAGGATTTGAGTCGGCTGTGGAAGAGGTAGGAATTGCCTTCTGGGGCCGGGATACTGGGGAGCAAGCAGGGGGCAGTGGAGAAAGCTCAGCCCTGCTGACCTTCACCCTAAGAATTCATTGCCTCTCACCTTCTCCCTAGCTGGCTCCTGCAGCCGTATGGCTGAGGGCAGGTGAAACTTGGGGGCATCCGAACCCCATGCCTCTGGATTTGGGCCTGCACATAGGATGCCTGCCAAAAGACTTTGGAAATATCTGAAGCCCCTGGTGGGGGTGGAGGATGTTTGCCAGTTGTAGGGCCGCTTACGGTTCTGGACTAATTCATGGATTGGGGCTTGAATTGGCTTGGAACATGAAAAATTTCTTTAAAAAAAATCATTGCCTCTCACCTGGTTTCTGTACTCTGCCATCGTAAGGCCAGTAGTGCAAGAGATGGCAAGGAAGTGAAATATGATTGAATAAAATCCCCCACCCTCCTGAGAGAACTGTTTAAAGCTGTAGTCGTGTTAGGTTACATCTCATTCAGGTGCCTTGCACACAGCAGGGGAAAAGGAATTTTTATAAACAACCATCCTTCAGCCTCTTTAAGGGTTGAGATTTTTGCAGACGGGTCAAATGAAACTTAATATTTGTAGTTTTTCTGAATGAAGAGCCAAGAAGAAGCCTTCTTCCTTTGGAGGAGACAAGAACCTGCTATTTTATTGGGTTTTTTTGTGCTCATCATTCAGTAAGTAGGAAAGAAATTGTGACCTCACTCTTTCCACCTCAGTTTTGTCCTGGTATTGCTGTCACCTTTTCCTCATGCACAAACATACTCACAAATAAGGGCACAAGATGGGCAAAGATGATGATTAGGTATGTGAAGTTTATAAGCAAAGCTGCAGTTGAAAGCAGGAACACATTGCAAGGAGCTCTTTATGTCGCAGGTGTTCCTCTTGAATTATTCAGGGAGGCCTGTTCAGGATGCAGCGAGAAAGGGGAGGGAGGAGCTCTAATGTCAGAGCCATTGTGTAGTGCAGTGCCAAAAATCAGGGGAGGAAATAGTTACAGCACTGCCTCCGGATGTTTGCAGATATTCAAGCAGGGGCAAGAAAACTGCTGCCCTTTCTGCAATTGTGACACTACTGCTTGACACAAGGGAAGGGACTAATTTGGTGTTACAGTAATGCTCGTTCTAAGTCTGCTTTATTCTCATGCCTGTGGAGTTCTCCTTTTTGGCCCTGATTTGGTCCACGGTCATGATCCTCAGAAAATATTTATACCATGATGAGTAATAGCAAACCCTAGGCAGACAGAATATCACAACTGCCCTCAAAGAGGCAAAGCACGATAATTTGGTCTTTACTAGGCAACCAAAAACAAGGTACAAAAAATTAACCTGACATCAAAAACAGAAGAAAAGTATCAGTGGTCTAGCAGTCCTGACTTACCACTTTTGTTCAAGATACACCATTAAAGATTTTACGTTGTGTTTTCTGTGGTGAAACCGTAATGAAAACTGGAATGGGAAAGCTGGTGGAGGACTGCAACATGCCTTCAAATCTCATTTTAAATAGAAAATAACTTTCCCTTGTCCCTGTAAAATAATATGCTGTTTTGAAGAAACTTAATCTGTATTCACTTGAGTGCATTGTTAATGTATTATGATGTTGTTGTGCAATGGAGGCTCTGTTTTACATGAGAAATGGCATGATCTGTCTTTGTCAGCCAATGCATGACCTTGCTAAGCAATATATGCCAACCAGCTCGCTTAAGTAATTTGAGATATGCGGGGTGCGGCCACCCGAAGGGATGGCGTTAGCCAAAATGCTGGTCACCCCTTGTTCCTCCTTCCCCTGGGGCCTCTGCCAAGCAGTGGTGAGAGGTGGGGCTGCACAAAGTATAGCCAGCAGCCAAGGCAGTGGCCACCCAGTCATCCCTCCTCCCCCTGGTGGCCTGTCCAATAAGCGGCGAGGGGCAAGGCTGCTGGGAAATGCCCATGTAATGGGGTCTTTGTGCTGCAACTAAGCCATGACAATTCCTTTGGCCATGAATTAAGTAGGTTCCTACTGATAGTGTAGGGAAATAAGCCACCAAAACCTGATATAAAGGCAATGGAAAGGCTCTAGATCAGTGTTTCTCAACCTGTGGGTTATGACCCAAAAATGGGTCGCAGGAATCATATATGTGAAAGGGTCATGAACAAACTTTTAAAAATGGATTCTCTTTTAAAGGAGAAAAATGTGGCTTTTCCCTTGCAGGTTGGCAGAGTTGCAGCCTGTGAGGGGCTGCTTGGGGCGCCCATGCTTCACACCCACCCCCTGCCCCACATGCTGAGGGGCTGGGGCAGAGAGCTGGGCATGAGGGGCACTGTGTGGGGACTGGCCATGGGTCCTGGTACAAACAAGGTGGAGAACCACTGCTCTAGATGACTTTAAGTGGCTGATTAAAAGGTCAGAGTGGTACATTGATCAAAATTACAAGTTGTGTATCCAGACATAACTTCATTAACTACCCCTTGTATTTTACATTTCCAAGTACTTACAGCATGCATCTTAAATACCATATTCTGTTTTAAAAAATCATTTTGTTCTGGTTTTTCTTCCTGCTGTTGATGCTTATACCTATTTCAGTGAGGGTGAAAATGACACCAATTTGCAGCACAAGGGCAGGTTGGAAAGGATACCCAGTACTCTGCCAAATGCCCAGTGTGGGAGGATTGGCAACTAGAGTGGGCTCCAAATGTTCAAACAGAACTGGAGTTTCAAATGAATGCTGTCACTTTAATCTACACAAGGCAACACATATATATCAAGTCCTTAAGTGGAAAACAAAACAAGTACAGAACATACCATCTTGTGACATCCAGGAGACTGAAAGTAATTGTCGTATCTTAAATAAAAAAGAACAAGTGGAAAAGCAGAGGCCACATACTGGCATTACATTTCAACCAGGAGAACTGCCATTCCCTGGGTAGAAATGACAAGCATATATTCAGTTGCTCCTGGAGGAAACATGCCTATTCCAGGAGAAGATTTTCTAGTATCAGCTTGGAAGATCCCACTTACCAGAGCAACTCTCACAAGAACAGATGTTATTTGTGTGCTCCCCCCCTGGTCTGGTCCAGGTGGGGAGGGGCGCAGCGGGGACTGCCTGAGGCTGGGTGCTTTGGACTGCTGCTCTCCACCTCTTCTTCAGAGGGGGCAGCTGCACGCTAAACACCTATCTGCTCCCCTTCCCAGAACGATTTCTGTGGAGGGAAATTTCTCAAAAATGTCTCCTGCTTGAAGTGAATGCCTGTTCAAAGCCATAGTTCAGACATCTGGAGCAAAACTCTGCATTTTGTATACTTATCTGCTCTGCACTTGGAGAAAGGAAACACCCAGCATCGGTCCTATCTTCCACATAGCCGTGATATACACTATGACACTTGACGTACAAAGGTGTGGGCTACTTGTGCACTTGCTCAGGCTTTGTTGCTTCCCTGTTATCATCCTTCTGGGTCATTGGGCCCATTAACCACTAGTGGCCCAGGAGACTAAACCAAGTTGTCTGTGAGTAAACATTGGACTCCCTCATCAGTTAATAAGGCCGTATGCTGGCTTGCAAGAAATTAAGGTTTGAAAGGGGTACATTAGTTCAAACAATTTGAGAAATCCTACTCTAGGTAATGGGTTCTCAACTTTGGGATCACTACCACTCTCCCAAGATGGGAAATGGGATGTAAACAGTTAAACAATTAAATGACAGTTACATTTATAACGCTTCCTGCTTACTGACTGCTAGCAGGAACGGCCCCGGCCCCTTACGTCTTCATTGTGTTCCTGGTGCTGTGCAGGTCCTAGGCCACTGGCGGGGAGTGAGTTGCAGGCAGGTACGGCCCAGGCAGGGCAATGGGCTCCTTGCACCTTTAGCTACACTTGTGCCACTACAGCCCAGACCTGAAGGCTCCTCTGTGCCCCCAGCTTACCCTGGCAGCAGGTGGGATCTGGTCCCAGTGGGGTGGCCTCCGCTGGGTGTGCATGTGCACAGCTCCAGGGCATTCCTGAGGGGTAGCAGCTCCAGCCTGGGAGGCTGTTGCACCTCTAATTCTCCCTCTGGGATCCCTGCTTCTGCCCCTCGGGAATGCCCTGGGGCCATGCTGACCGTGCAAGGGGCTGGCAGTGACCCCCCAGACCCAGTGTTGCCCGCTGCAGCTGCCGGCACATCCTCAGGCTGAGCCAGCCATGCACTCAGCCCTACCTCCAGGCTGGGCCAGGCCCCACACAGCTCCAGTGCCATGGGCAGGATGGGAAAGGATGCAGTGTACATGGCAGAGGCCACCTGGGACCAGACCGCGGCCTGCCCTGGGGTGAACTGGGGAGGACGCAGCCCAGCAACGCAGAGGAGTCTTCAGGTCTGGGCTGCAGCAGCACAAGCACGGCCAGAGGTGCAGGGAGCTCGTGGTCCTGCTCAGGCCCCGCCACTGCAGCAGGGGCCAGGCAGATCCACCGTGCAGCTGGGATTCTTGGTGCTGCAGCAGGAAGGCCCTGCCTCATAGTGG